CAAAAAATAATTAATTCTGTGAAAGACGAACTCCAAACAGCTGAAAACAACGATATAAAAGCTTTTTTTATACGGTTGAAACTGTCTCACTGTCGTCTTTTTGAAACTTCTGATTTCAAAATAAAATCCACGTGTATGGTGTGTACACATATCTTCATCTACATGTTTCCATCTGCTTCCCAAACAGAACCATACATTCTGACAGCATTTGTGTAGAAATATATCTGTATATTTATTAATATAGCTGCAATTAAGACATTATTCTGACAAATTATTCCACCTCATAATGTCTTATTCTGAAAATACGGATGTTGTGCTCGTTCCTCTTCCAGTTGATGTGATGTAATCTTTAAAAATTGACTCCGGCGTCCGGCAGAAATAGGATCAGGTCTAATTTTGCCGAATGGCCGTCCGCTCACCACCAAAGTGCACAGCCAGTGTGAACACCTGATTATAATGGGTGTGTATTTTCTGCGGAGGTCGGACCGGACCGGACCGGAGCAGGAACACATGTAGTGTAAATTAGGGGTTATAGTTGTATGTTTATATTTGTAATGAACTCATCAGTGCAGACACTTCCTCTGATTGTCGTTACTCTGCAGTAATCATTGATATAATTGAGTCTTTGTGTGTTTCTGACAGGGAGACCTGGACCCCCTGGCCTCAGTGAAGACCCTGACCCTCCTCAGGTCAGACCCAACCCGTCCTCTGGTTTCTGGTTCTGTTCGTCCAACATGTTCTAACGATTGGTTCTGATTCATCTGCAGCTTGTTGAGGAACCCAGTGACCAACAAGAAGCACTACCGGCTCTACGTCATCAACAAGCTGCCCCAGGTCCGGGTCCTGGACTTCCAGAAGGTCAAGCTGAAGGTGAGCCGAGGGGCCGGGTCCAAAACCTCCAACAGGTCCAACAAACCCAGGTTCATCTGAGAGATGAGGATGATGTAATGATGATGATGATGATGATGATGACATGTCTGTACAGAGAGAGAGACGCACGCTTCCCCCACCTCTGTACCTCGGAGCAAGGCAGCAACAGACTCGTCAAGAGCTTTGAGGCTTTAACCGTAGCTCCCAAAAATAACTTAAATACTGACCTAACTGCTTTAATAATAACTTAAATACTGACTTAACTACTTTAATAATAACTTAAATACTGACTTAAATACTTTAA